TCATTTTTGAATCATTATCTCACAAGTAGGACTCACTTTATCTCTAACGGTCAAAAAATTAATTATCAAAATCTCCACCAAACAAGCTCTAAATTAATGTGAATCTTAATTAATTAAAAATTAATGACACGAAATTTATACATGACAAGGATTTTGTAGTATTTATTATATATTAAAATGCAAAATGTAAGGTATTATTGAAATAATTCAATTGTAGTAAGGCTAAAATTATCCCAAAAAAATAAAAAACAGATTCACACTTGATGTGATATTTAATTATTATATGTATAGATTATTTTTAAGAAATATAATAGGCAAATTATGCACATTTTTGGACCAAATTCATTATTAGATATAAAATGTGCTAATTAATGAAATATTGATAATAAGAACATGAAAGGAAAATGTTCAAGACATTAAATACTACAACAAGCAAGGATTAAGCCCTTGTTTGATTGCCATTATTTGACAAAAATAAAGTTTTAAAATAGTAATTTTTTTAAGAACGTATGTTAAAAAGTAGGAAAAATTTTGAATTTATGTGCAGAATATTTTATTGTGTGAATATGTGATTGAAAATTGGTATATAGAAAAAAGTGTATTGAAATAATGACTATCAAATAAGAGCTAAGGACCTTAAGTACAAATAATATCTTACGAAAAAAATAAAGAATAGTACAAATATAATTTCCTAACATCATAAAGGATATCCATTTTTTTACCCCAATTGATTAGCTCGATCGGAGGTCAAGACTGTGATCCAATGATAAAATAGAAGTTATCCATATCAGTTGATATGTGAATTACACAATAGTGGATGAAAATAGCTTAGTGATTTCAAATGAAAATCGCTATACACGAAATATTACCTTCTATAACCAAATCAAAATTGAAAAATTAACCAAATTCATGGTACACTAAAGTTCAAAACATGTTATGGGCCTGTTTGTGCCAAATTCTCTTCTGATTTTAATGAGAAATTCAATTGTTTGGTTGACTTCCTGTCTGACACCCATTACTATTTCAAACTGTACCAATACTAGAAGTTCCCTCAATTGCCCTTAAGTTGCTTTCCCAAATCACACCCGGTCACAGAAAGAAAACCTACTCTACTCCACTCCAGCGACCCCTTTTCTACCAGAAATTGCAAAAGCTACGCACACCCCAATCGATCTTGCTCATTCATCGGCGTCGGAGCATGAATTTGTAGGGAATACTGGCTCTGTAGCGTGTTGTCGTTGTCCAGCACAGTGGTCTTCTTCAACGATTTTTGTGAATCCTTGGCTGCGGGTCTATCCCTGAAGGCGTCGTGGCCATTTCAGGTGGCCATAATTTCAGTCTCCGACACCAGTAAACGTCCTGCCCTTGATCGGTATTTGCAACAAATCGGATGGATCCACATTCCACTGAGGTAAGCGCACAGGGTTGCAAGACATACGGTCCGAATTTCTTATTTATTTATTCTGAACACTTGATCGTTGCTTTTCGCAAACGGGCAACGCTGCACAGCATGCACCTTTCAAGGCACCTAGAGCCGCAAGCAAGGCAGGATTGAGAAGAAATGCAAGGTGGAACCTGGTCGAGAGGATGACATTCATCGCTGCTTGCAAAACAGCCATTGTCGAAGGCCATCGGCATGACAGGTGTTTTACCAAACAGGGCTGGGAGTTTGTGGTTTCGTTATTCAATTCGTCGTCTGACCACAATTGGATAAAACAACAACTCCACAACCATTGGGACGCAATGCGTCGTGACCACAGGCGCCTCCACGAACTCCTGTCTTCAAGCGGGGTCGAATATGATGAGTCAATGGGCCGGTTTGCAGCAACTGAGGAATGGTGGGCGAGAAAAATCAAGGTAACGATCCGTCTTATAATCTGGTAGCATATTATGTTCCGTTTTCATCCAGCCAGTCCAATTATGTTATGTTTTCACTTTTCATTTTCTTCTTTTTTTTTTTGGTTGTTTCTCTCTTGATTCTGTCCATGCATAAAGTTCACTCGTTTGTGCCTTCACCTTTACGTGTTTGATCATTTCCATGCTTGAATTCATCAATATGTGCCTTCAAACGCGGTTAACAATGCTGTTAGTAAAAATGGTGGTAAAGGCATATGGACGTATAAAAAAAACAATTCACATTCGTTTTCAAATTCTGTGAGCATCTCGATTAACGTGTAAGTAGGCAAATATTAGCTTCTTGCAGACTGATTTATGTTTCCTGGTTTTCGACAATTTCTGTGCTTGCTTCTCGAGAAATGGCAGTATTCTGTTCTTATAAGGTGTGGTCAATATGTTAGCTGTCCTGTAACGCGTTAGTTTCAGAATGATCATTTTGTAGAATGCGTTTGCTTTCCCAAATTGTAAGAGTAGAATTGTATATACTGAGATGCCTTGATTATAATTGTTAGTCTTCCAATTATTGCCCGAATGCTACTCCGCAGAATGAAGGTAGACATTGAGCACTCGGAAACGAAAACTTTTCTCTCTGATGCTTATAGAATGAAATAAGTCACCCCAATCATGTTGAATTTATTTGTAGGTTTGGTATTCGTGAATTGAAACAAGGACCAACTAAATTTTAAATTGTTTTGCATGTGTTATGTCCACACCACTCCAATGTACTAAATATGTGTGCCTTGATATCTAACGGAAAGCTGATATTACTTGTGGGGGAAAAAAGGCATTATTTAAAATATCTGACCAATGAAAATTAGAGCTTCTCATGCCAAAGTGAAGCAGCATGGAAGTGCTAATGAAATATCACATTCCTGTTGTAGTAGGAAACCTCCATTGTTACTATTGGACACCTGGCTTGTTGGTGAAAATTCAAAAACTACTTCCAGTAGAGGAAAAATCAAAGAAATATTAATTACACTCACAATTCTCATTGTCTGTCTACTTCCTTGGTTACCAAAACACCCCCCTTTTCTTTGAAAAAATTGCCTAGGGACATCAATTTTTCAAGAGAAATTCAGCCTACATTATTGGATGTGACATTTGTCATTTTCTTTCTGTTTAGATGTCAATTGACACATTTCTCCATGTGTCTTTGACAATTTGAGGGATATATTTTATCCAGTTTAACTATGAACAAAAGCAATTTATATATTTCACTGAATTTTTTTTTGGATTCAGGTTCAATGTGCTCACATCTGCTGTAAAATTTATTTAAATTATTTCATAATTTATTTTTTGAGCTTCCATTCTATATGAAACATACTGGCTATAAGTAAAAACATGTGCTGCTTTGTTGAAAATATGCTGATTGGCTTCAGCCTTTTCCTTCAATTTGTCATTTTACCTTAAGCTATGGATTGTAGCTGAGAATAGTGCTTCAACAAGTTATTCTTCTTTCGTTCATTGGTTCGTTTCATTCACAATTACCTGGCTATACAATATCAGCTAGAACAATTGAGAAATACATTTCTGGCATTTTCAGTAAGCATCTCTTGTAAAGAAAATGTTGACTCTTGATTCGGTTGTTAAACTCATTAGTTGGAAATCATTTAGTGAGTTAGAAAATTAGTCTGAGCCTTAGAGATTCTTGTGTTCAAAATCTGAGTTCTTTTCTGAGTTTTTGTTTCTGCCATTACTGTGGTTTCTTTTCCTGTCATGCAAATATGTGATATGATCATTGTTATTTTTCTAAAAGTTTGTGTGGGCAAGTATAGCATTTTATACATTTTGACATTACTTTTACTTTTCTGAAAGTTTGAGCATGTGACACACTATTATGGAAAAATCATAAGTTGAGAACAATGATTTTTTCCGAACCTAATAATCTCTTGTCCACGTGTTATTGCAGGAAAACAAAGAGTACAAGGAATTTAAGGATAAAGACGTTAGCGAGATTTACGTTCGCTAACGTCAGCTATTTGGGGAAAGCTACGATGGTGACAAGTATGCGACGTCCCCGAGCCTGTTTTGTGAAACAGGGTTTGCCGTATATAAAGACCATGTGGCAGAGGATGACTTGGATGCCATTCCCGTCGATGGAGAGGGCAGCGGTTCTAGCGATGAGAAGGACAGAACAACAAGTACAACAAGCAGAAACACTTATAATGCTAGAAATGGCGAGAAACGCCAGTCATCCACTAAGGGGCGTAAGGAAAAGCAGAAGAAAAATTCGGCTCATGAGTTGTCCTATTCTGTGGATCGGGCTACTAGTGCAATCGAGGAAGTGGCCGCAAAGCTCAATAGCATCGTCAATCGAACCGACAACACCAGGGCTTCTGCAGTCGAGGAGTTGCTCGCAGCGGGCTGGCTACAGCGCCGGTCCCCACTGTACTACTACGCCTGCGCACTTCTGAAGCAGAAGTGTGCTAGGGATATGCTAGCTGTAGTGTAGGATGTAAATGAAAAGTTTGAATGGATCGAGTGGCAGTTTAATGAGCGTGGCAAGTCGCTCCACTAGGCCCTTATGTATTAGTGTTGTTGCCCCTCCCCCGTTTGTGACGTTTGGTTTCTTGTGTACTTTTCCCCGTTCTTGTACCTATGTTGGACACTTATGTGTTAGTAATGTTATTTCTGTACTATCCCTACATGTTTATTACTATTGCATACTTATATCATGCTGCACAGCATCATTGAAACTTGACTTGAACTTAAGTTGTAGGGAATCTTTCTACCCATGCCAGAACTAGTTCATTCACAAGTACATTGCAGGGCCCATTTTGTTTTCCTTTGCACAATCATTTCACCTACTTGTATGGCTGATGTACGCAAGTGCCTTTGTGCACTCCTCAATATATATTTGGTTTCTCTTGGAATGTGAAGGCAGTAGCTTCATTACCACAATGAGCTTCGAGTATATGTTGCAACCGCGCTCGGACTCTGAGGACGAGCTTAGTAACGAGGAGTTGTTCAGAAGTCTCGTAGATGACGTCACAGCATGGGTCACATTTTCATATGTTGCCGGGACTGATGTAAGGACATGTTATCGCACATAGCAGAATCATGTTCGACGATTTCCTTTCGCCAGAAATGGCCACATGTTCATGATGGAGGCTATGGGCAAGAACGGTCAGATATGCCATCAGGAGTTCCAAATATACCCGCCGATGTTGCGACGCTTTGCACATGTCCTACGAGACAAGTACGGCTTAACTGGTAGCCAGCAGGTGGATATATATGAGAAAGTTGGTATGTTCTTGTGTATACTTGCACATGGGAAAGGATACCAGCAGGTGACAACATTATTCAACCATTCTTTGCAAACCGTTTGTGTATTTTTCAAAGAGGTGCTACGTGCCGTTGTGATGCTCTCGGAACATGTGATAAGACCAGCGTGGAATTACAATGACGGTGTCGATCCACACACGCCGCACTCGAACAAGCATCCACTGTTTCAGGATTGCATTGGGGCTATTGACAGAACACATGTCAGAACTGTGCTACCGCGTCACGAGTGTGTGAACTTCATGGGTCGGAAAGGAGTGCCGACCCAAAATGTGTTGGCCGCATGCGATTTCAATTTGTGTTTCATGTTCGTGCTTGCTGGTTATACCGGGAACACACATGACGCACGAATGCTGGCTCGTGCTATATACAGTCCGGAAATTGATTTTTCGCAGTCGGCACCGAGAAAGTATTATTTGGTGGACTCCGATTTTGCTCACCAGCCGGGATATATGGCACCGTACAAAGGTTCCGATATACTGTATCACTTCCAACAGTTTCGCAACGAACGAACTGGGCAGCGCCGTAGGTTTCGAAATGCTCGTGAGAAGTTTAATTAGGTGGAAAATCCTTGACTGTATGCTCAACTATTCATTCGAAATGCAAGTTGCAGTTGTCCTAGCCATGATGGATGTTCATAATTTCCTGCGTCGTTATGGAATTGTGGATGAGGTGTTCGCGAGAGCGAAAACGAATGAGGATGTAGCCGAGGTGGAGCTACCCAGTGCTGAGGACGAAGTGGAGGCCGATATGAATTCGCCGGAGATGCAACGAAGTGAGTGGAATAGACTTCGCGATTACATGGCACAGCAGCCGTGATGATCGCATTTCGGGACCTCACAATCGGTACGTGTCCATACGGACTTAAGGAAATGTACAAGTTCTTCGTCGTTGTCTTTATCAGTCAATGTTGTTGTGTTTTGTTTCGGTACGTTGGTCGAACTTCAAATTAGTGGATATTCGCGTTTGAATAATCAAATCGGATTTCGGACGGTGCCTCTTGTAGCATCTATGTGTTATGCCAAATTCTAACTTTGCCGGATTCAGCCGTTGTCGTAATAATGTCACTTGTATTTTTTTTTTAAATTTCCCCCACGTTCAGTTGTCTACTGTATGGGTGTTTGTGATTTTATCGTGAGTTTTCTTTTTTCCTTCGAAGTAGAGTCTTGTACGGAAATTCAATGTTGACATCAATAATGTGCTGGCAAGTTGTGGCAAGGTCAGAAAGTGTGGAATACTTTTATTAATCGTTTGGCAGCCTTCGACTATTAGTGCCCGGCAGCCTTTGACTGTTAGTGCCCACCACATGCCCATGTGAATGTCATTTGCACCCATTTTGAAAGACTATGGGCAAAATCGAAAATTACCCACTAATTGGTCTACCAAATCTGAGATAAATTCAAGTACCGGCCCCACCATGTCTGCTCCAACGATCGGAAAAATCATTAAAATGGGCAAAAAATTTGGCACAAATAGGCTCTATTATACTTTTGGGGCACGACAAACTTTTAAGGACAACCAAACCAACCTAGACAGCTAGATGAGAGTCGCGACTCTATGCAAGCACGAATGAGATGTATCTTATTAGTTTTTGAATTAATGTAGGCCCGTGTTTGGGCTCCATTATTTTCATAAATATGCATTTCTAAATAGTGTATTTATAAGAACTTTGTAATTAAAAGATAAAGAAAATTTTTGGATTTGTATTTAATATTATTTTATTAAAGAATGTGTTATTGAAATGATGTTAAATAACTGTTTAAGAATGTATTTTTTTAAAGAATATGACTCAAACAGGATCTAGATGTACATTCTTAGATGATATTGTTGTTGAAATTATGTGAGTTGTCAGAATTTGTGACATTGATTGTTTAAAACATTGTTAAAGTTACAAGAATGTCATTTATGATGTCAAAATTAATATATATGTAGCAGGATTGTCGGTTTTTCGAGGCATCGAGCGGTTGAATCCAGTATAATGTAATGACATCAGCGAGTTGGCCGTGAGCATGAAGAGTGGGCCCAACAAATGAAGTCCCATCACGATCTGGAAGATAAAAAGGGGAATGGGCCCAGGATGAGATATCTTGTGACTGTAATGGGCAGGAGCAGTGCACCAAACCTAGAGAATTGTGCCGGCACTCATTCCCGTGCCATCCACACTTGCACGTGAAAATTTTATAATGCTTTTAATTAGAACCTTTTCACCCTCATAATTGACAATTATATTCAAGAATTCTCATTAGTCCATGTTGATTTAGATCAAAAATAAATTTTTAATATTAATATTTTAATAAAAGCTAATGGAATAAATGATTGAAAAATTGATATGATTTGTTGTTCCATAAATGTATAATAAAAAAATTGTTTGAGGAAATATGGATCAAATAGAGACTTTTGACTCCATTTGACAGGCATTTTTTCGTGAAGAATGAGTTTTTATGAATTGTAAATTTTTGAAGAATATATGATTAAAAAGTAGAAAATTTTGAATTTACTTAAAAATATTGTATTGTGAAAATGTGTGGTTAAAAATGAGTATGATAAAAGAAGAGTTTTGAAATAATTTTCATGAAATAGAAACTTAAATCATTTTTATATACGAAGGATATAAAATGAAATATGTGATAACATTGGAAGAAAGACAAAAGGGGAAAAAAGACATTTACCAACGCTGTTAAGAAATTCATAAATGTTTAATACAGAGATGATTATATTATGGAAAAATTGCAATAGCGGTCTCTAACCTTTTCATTTTTTGCAGACTTTATCCTAACTTTCATTTTGTGCTAGCGAAAGTCCCTAATCTTTTATAAATATGCACCCAAGATCTATTTGGATGGAAACCGTCCCAAACACCATCAATTGATCAGGAAACTTCTTTGAATTATTTGCTACTGCAACGATTTTATTGGATGTTGATATCTTTTCAGACGATTTTATTGAAAGTTAATTCTTTAATTTTCCCAATCAACTGACTGTGTTTTAGACAATTTTCGTCTAGATGAACCTCAAGTGTATATTTATTAAAGGTTAGGAACCTCCACTGGTATAAAATGAACGTTAGAGTAAAGTCTACAAAAAATAAAAATGTTAGAGACCATTGCTACAATTTTCCCTTATATTAACATCAAAAAATTCTTTGTTGTACTAGTTTTTATTTTTAGTAAAGATTTTCGTTTACTTTTATTATTGTTTTTTTTCCCTCAATTTTCAAGTAATTAGAACCTCTAGAGCAAGTTTGATTGAAATTTCAATTAAAATTTGAGCCTATTAAACTTACTTTTTCTCACATATTTTATAAGATCCATAGTTTATAAGTAGTTAAAAAAACTATCAAATAAATACTTAGTCTTTTGTTATAGTTTATATCCAAATATTTTCCCAACACACTTTAAAATGGAAAACAATATTTTATCATACTTTTACATTTATTATTTTAAGATAAATAAATCTTTTTATACTTTCTTGACGAACTTTTTGAAAGAAATTGTCATAAGAGACACGATGAGCAAATTAATAAAATGTTTAGTCTAAGAATGCAACAACAAAAAATGGAATATAAATGTGACAATGAACAATTATTAATGCCTTTTTATTCATTTGGAAAAATGATTTTACTATTTGTACATAAAAATGGAAAATAAGCGATTATCGAAAATGAAGTAGAGAGATAAGATTGGATGAAAAAGTTGATTTGTTTTAAATTGACAACTGGTAGAGTGTCACGTGACATTATGTAATTTCTTATGTAAACATTGATGTATATGTAACAATGTCCAAAATTTATAAGGGCAATATAATCATATCCTTAACTGAACGAACTCATCTAATCATAATCTAAAATATTAGGGACTATTTTGAGATTTAGCTAAAAGTTGAAGAAACTGAAAAGGAAAACTCCGCCCCCAAGATCGCGAGGGGTTTATAAAATGGTGAGTCGCAAAATATTTCCATTGCTAACTTTAATAACCCCTTTCTCTCTCTATAAGTAGAATTGTGATTGTTTAAACAGAGATCCATGGCGGAATCAGAAGCACAACCTCCGATTCAAACGGTACGCTGAAGAACGCCTACTTATTTATTACTTTTTAGGCAATTTTTTAATTCAGATTTGTTGGTTTAATCAAATCCTTGTAATCTTCGCCGAAACGTTATTTGGAATTTTTGAGAAGATATTCATACGAGAAATAAATCGGAAGAATTACATTGATTGTAGGATTTAAGATCTCCAATTTCAATCTTTTTTCGCAGGTTCAGGAAAATGATGAGAAAAAACTCAAGTATCTTGAATTCGTGCAAGTAGCTGCTGTTTACATCGTCGTTTTAAGCTCAGCACTGTACGAATACGCCAAGGAGAATTCCGGTCCGTTGAAGCCCGGAGTTGAGACCGTCGAAGGGACTGTCAAAGCCGTCATTGGACCGGTCTACGACAAATTCCAGGATGTTCCCTTTGAGCTACTCAAATTTGTCGATCGCAAGGTACGAAAATATTTTAATTCTTCACTAACATTAACGCACCGGCGGACGTTATCAAATTAGGCGCACGTTATTGAATTGGATCACGTGGTGTGCAGGTTGATGAGTCCATAACCGAGTTGGACCGTCACGTACCCGCTCTCCTTAAAGAGATTGCGTACCAAGCCACGGCGGCGGCTCAGAAGGCTCCGGAAGTGGCTCGGGAGTTGGCTGCGGAAGTGCAACGCGATGGCTTATTGGACACTGCGACCAACATTGCCAAATCCCTGTACGCCAAGTACGAGCCTGCAGCCAAGAAACTTTACACAGAGTACGAGCCAGTAGCTGAGCAGTATGCAGTTTCAGCTTGGCGCCTGTTGAACCGGCTTCCTTTGTTCCCACAATTGGCTGACATCATGATTCCCACGGCCGTCTATTGGGCTGAGAAATATAATCAAGCCGTGGCTTATACGGCTGAGAAAGGCTATCCGCTGTCGTATTACCTGCCTTTAGTGCCAATTGAGAGAATCGCCAAGATATTCAAGGTGGCTGAGAACGACCCGGCTGTTTCTACCAATGGAGAATATGTAGCCGTCTCGCAATAATAATTGGTCCTTGTTTATTTTTTAGTGGGTTTTTTTAGTACACTTTTTTTATCGGGAATTCTCATTAGAGACCTCTTATCGATCAATAATCTATTTTGTCGTTCGTTTAGTTGAAAGTTATGAAACAAGTATATTGTAGTTCGTAACAACTTTGAAGTCTCTCCGTGTTTCATTATTTGAATTTTGATATAGCATGCAATCAAATTTTGGAATGCTCGATACTCTTAATAAAGAAGAAAATAAAATTTTATGAGTTTATTTATATAAAGGCCACATATAATGATATAAAGTTGTAATCTAAACAAATATTTAGTGACGGAGTGGGCAGCTGGGTGACGACAGCTAACGTAACACATTTAAAATAGATTTGAAATTTTAGACATTTTAAAATTTCATCCTCCTAAGAAAATATCCCAATTCCACCATTATTGATATTGATATAAGTTTCCTTTTTTTCTTTGGCCCATGTTTGAGCTCATTTTTTCGGGGGAAATGTGCATTGGAATAGTGATTTTTATGGAAAATATGTGATTAAAAAATAGAGAAAAAGTATTGAATTTCCCCCGTTTGAGCCATATTGTTGTAAAAATGAGAATGAAAAATATAGTCGTTATGGATCCCAAATAAAAGATAAAAATTCAAATATGGTGGCTTGATGTGATATATAACAGTCATATTTTTCATTTTAATGAGAAAATAATATGGCTCAAAAGAGGGTTATGTATAAAATTATTTTATGAAGAAATATATGATTGAAAATGAATATTGAAAAAAATGAGGCTCGGACAGAAACTTAACATGTCCAATATCGAATGCCAAATCTTCTGTTAAATTTATATAAGCACTTAAACGTAGATTGAGGACAAAATTAATTTTCCAAATCTTTTATATTTTGCAATCAAATTAGATATAAAATCTCACTACATTTACATTTAACGTATGTAAATGTAAATGTATGCACACACTATACTCTCAATAATTTGAAAGTGAATGTTAAGCCTTCATTCTATCAAATTATCTGTAAAAATAAGAAAGAAAATTGAGTTGCTAAGAGGGACTAGGGACTCGCATATCTTTGTACTTCTCATTCATGCTACGAATTGTCAATATGACATGATCGCTCACAGCTAGTTATCAAATATTAGGGATGGAAATTTTTTTTTAAAAAAGACTCATTGTAAGTAAAAAGGATGACAGAGATTTTGATCGCCTTTCAAAAGCGTCGAGCCCTGCATGAATAAACAATTGGAAGAAAAAAGTGTCCCTACCCCTATTGTAAGGATCGGTCAGAGCTTCGATTAGTTTTTTCTGACAGTGTAGCCCGATTGAAATTTTTTTGCCAGACTCAAAACTCTCATTTGACAAAATAAATAAAGATATTAGTGAAGAAATCAAGAAACATAATGGAAAATGAAAGATTTTATACCCGTCCCACCACCCACTCCGAGGGCCGCCTTGGTCCCAAAACACTGCTCCTTATCATATGACAACCAATTTCAGTCTTTTCAAAAAAAATAAAAAAATACAGGGATTATGTAATGGGCCAACCAGAACTATGAGGGTCCATTCTTTAGGGCCCAATATATTAATATTACCTATGACCTAAAATTTGATCCTAAGTTATAAATCTACATGTCGAGTAAACTAATTAGGAAAAAGTCATTTGTACACTCCATGTTTGACATTGTCCTTGTTTTTAAAAAAATTGTTGGGAAAATTTTGTTTTTTTATTGGCAAACTCTCAAGCTTATTGTACACCAAACATTGAAATAATTATGTGTCACGTTTTGAGAAATTTAGGTACAGCGCCTAGTTTATCTTTCGTTAATGATAGAATCTCGAAAAATACCAAGAAATCTATTAGATTTGTTTATAGAGCTTACGATTCTGTGTTTTCTGCCTTGAATATGTAAAAAGTATAAAGGAGAATTTTGGAAAAATAACATTTTAGTGCTTATAGTTTAGTTTCAGAAAGATTTAACGAAGAAAAAAAAAATGAATGCACATTACAATATGAGGGGCGAACTTTTAAAATTTGACTCAGGTCTATAAAACTTTAATTTAAGTTAAAAAATCATATTTTTAGTACATTTGAAGAAAAGTTGATATATTATATGGTTAAAAAGTTGATAAAATTTATAAATCTCATAAAATATGTTATTGAAAATGAGTTTGTGAAAAAATGAGTTTTAAAAAACGCAGGTTAAACATGAACATAAAGCCCCGTTTGAGTCCCATTATTTGTAGATTATAATGATATGGATAGTATTTTTTTTTTTAAAAATGAGTGGTTGAAAAGTTTTTAATTTACGTGTAATATTATTTTATTGAAAATTATGTAATTAAAAGTAGGAGAAAGAAAATTTTAATTTAATGTAATGAGAAATAATAGGGCTCAAACGGGGGCAGAGTTTGACCCTAAATTAGTACTTGTTTGATACAGATTTTAAATTAATTAAAATCAATTTTGACAGTGTTATTTCACTATTCCAGTCATTATTTTTGAATCATTCTCTGACGGTAAGACTTACTTTATTTTTAACGATCAAAAAATCAATTATTAAAATCTCTATATCAAACAAGTACTTACACCCATCATTGGGGTTAACCCGATGTCTCTGTTGTTTTTAATATATTACTTTTATATTCAAAATTCATTTGCCTCTCTCTCTCTCTCTCTCTCTCTCTCTCCCCCTCCCTCTCCCTCTCTCATAATCCATAATTTTGCATGTGTCGACGTGGTGGGACATTGGTGCAACAATCTTGGCATTCGATCATCTCACGAATAGAAATCGTGGATTAAATTAATAATTGACATCCCAAAATAGCCTTCTTAAATTATTTATTTTATTACTGCGTGACTTTTGTTTATCTTGATAAAACTAAATTATTCAATAATTGAATGATTGGACCTCACCTAATCGAGACAATGCATGATTAATCTACGTGATTATTTGTCCACTTGGTGAGCTGCAAGTGATTACAATTACAATATTCTTCGAGTCAATTATTTTGCATTGACTTGACCAGTGTTATCCATTGCTCACTGCCAATAATTCTCAATGAATGATTAATCCCTGTTTAGTTTTGTTAAAAAATATATTTTAAGAAATTTTGATGAAATATGTGATTAAAAATAATTGTTAATTTTATTTAAATTTTATCAATTTTTTAAAACTAAATCTAACAAAAATTTGATGAAATTTCACACAAAATTATTTAACTAAACAAAACGGCTTTAAAGTTGGACAATTCATTTAAAAAAAATAAAAAAGGGTTTCAATATTATTTTGCTTACAGTTTGATCGTTGAACCTTTATCATTTTTCAGTCAGTGCTCGAACCTATTTTCAAAACATTATGCTTTCATGGTTTTCAAGTAATCACGTTGTCATTTTATTTCATTTGATCTCTACTCGTGTCGCTCTATCTTTGTTAACATCATCTTTTATCATTTCATTTTTTTTTCCCTCCATATCTTACTTCGTGTTAAGGCCATGTTTGAGCATTTTTTCAAAAAAATACATATTTCAACAGTGATTTGACATTATTTCAACCATACATTCTTCAATAAAATAATATTAAACGCAAATTCAAAAATTTCCTTATTTTTTAACAGCACATTTTTCATCAATACACTATTCAAAAATACATTTTCATTCCAATAATGTAGTTCAACAAGGGCTAAGTTCATTGGCAAACCTACTCAAGGTCCTAGCGGGTCACTTGACCCACCAGCTTCAAGTTGGATTTTTTATTTATTTTTATTTTTTTTTAAAGAAGAACCAAAAATTAGAATTGGGCAATAATGGTAGTTGAACTTTTTTATTAAAATAGAGTTCCAACAACGAACGAACAATTGAGAGAGTGAGAATTGAAATTATTTTGTCATTTGTGAAATTTAATTTGAAAATTCTTTAAAAAAATTTATTCATCGTACATGTGAGATTATTTGAAATTCTTTAGGAATTGTTATTTATCATACATATAAGATTTGTGAATTTATGATATTAATCATGTGTATGTGTTTTTGTAGAATACATGAATTTTTTTTGTAACTTTCTAATAAATTTAATTATGTCCCACTAACTCCAAATGTCTGCATCCACCACTGGCTAAGTTTAAATATCACACATTCAATAAATATAAAATAAATATACAATACATAAGAGTTTGGATTATTCTTTTTAACGATATTACGTTTTTAAAATAAGAGTTTCAAGTATTAATATCATATCAGATACCATCAAAATTTAAACAAACAATTTGATTGGATTAAGATTGAACAACTTATTACGTTGTTCTAGTTTTAATGATGCCATTAAGATAATAACCTAACTAGATAACTTTGTAGAACATTTGAGATTTATATGTGTTAAAGTTATAGTTAATGAAATGGACTCCTAACTGGAACACACATAATTATCGTAAACTTATTTTACTCCGACGACCAAATTAGAAAAGTCGAATGGTGCATGTAAGCATACTTTGGTATAGCATTTACTCACATTGTTAATATGTTGTATAAACGTGTATATGAACTAGACGCTGCAATTAATTTTATTATAGGATAACTCGTGTAGGAAGAAGTTCAATTTTTCATTGGAGTATGATCTATTGATATTGGGACACTACAAGAAATTTATATTTTCCCTACAAATTTTTTTTTGTAGGTAAAGGTTCATTTTTGTAGGAAAAAATCTTTGCAGACGAAAAAATTTTGTAAGCACATTTGTGGGACAAACATCGAGGGAAAAAGTATAAGACGACAAATTTTTGAAGTTTGTGGGCTAAAGTTTTTCCCTACAAACCCTTTGGAGACAAACATAATTCATCATGTAAATTTTCTCCCGACAAAATCATTTGTCTGCTAAAGTTAATTTTACCCACAAAATGATTACGCTTTTTCCTACATATTATGTTGTAGGCTAAATTGTGTTTTTCCCTACAAATAAATTTTGTGTGAAAAGAATATTTGTGACAACATAATACATATTATTTTGTGGGCTCAACCCTATTTATCTACAAATAATTTTTTGTGGGAAAAACATATTTGTAGATTATTATGAAAGAATTTGTAGGGAGAAAATAAATTATTTCATATATTTTATTTTTTGCTTATATTGTAGTAATTTTTTTAACCTTATTCAAAACAATATAAAAATGCCATAGGCTATAAATTAATTAAACATGTAGTGTCAATCAATGTAATATTGAATCCAAAATATTTTACAAAAACACAAATGTAACAAAATTTACAGTTCATCCAAATCCAAACTAGGTAATTTTCAATTTACAAGCATCCAGCAAAAGAATAAATAAATAATAGAGTACTAGTGAGTCAACGAAAGTCCAATAAAAGAATACAAGACTTTGAGTTGATTATTAGCAAGTCTGCTTATGAGTTATGCAGCTTGTAGCAATGAAATTACCCTGGTGTGTTGGGAAGGTGGACTAGGTAATAGATAACACATAGCCCCATTAACTGTTTCTTGACCAGTTCATCGGGAATGTCTAGTTGCAGTTTGTCAATAAACCTATATAAGAAGGAAGTATTCTTAACATTATATAACAAAATATAGATAATAAGAGAGAAGACTTAGCATTTGCACACTATTTTAACCACTCTTTATTTCACCACCTTGAAGGGTTGTTAAGGGATCAAGAAAATACATTTAAAATGTAGAATGAAAATGTCATGCCGTTATAAGATATTATAATGTGTTATCGAGCAAGCTTTAAGAAGCATTCCTACAAAAGAAAATCCAATTTTACGAGATAAACAATTAGAATTTGCATTCTTAATAGTTAATAAAACTTGGCATAAAACCTGATCAACTATTATAATTCAATGAAATCACTAGCATTTAATCAAAATTTTAAACAACCAAAAAATAATTTGCAATATCATAGGAAGCAAAAGCCAGCAAAACGTTACGAATGTATATTCAAAAACTTTGGGACTGGGTAAATAATTTGTCAACCACGAAAGTCCTATAAACTCATATTTCTACTTCCAATGTTCAATCCTCACATCCCACACCTTAAAAGAACGGCATTAGTCTCAATACACTATTTGTATTCTCAACATTTCTTTCTTATGCGGGCTATGCATATTATTAATAGTTTACAATTTAAACAAAAATTGAAAAGAAAACATATGGTGAAAAGGAAAAGCTAATTAAGAAGTAAGAGCCAGACCTTAACATGACCATGGAGAAAGAGTAGAACCTTGAGATAAGGCGATTCAATAATATGCACCCAACTAGGTGCAGTATCGGAGGGGTCATCCCACCCAATGTGTGCCACATGCTTAACATCTACTGGTAATCCAATCAGGCTCCTTCACAATTTCAACACAACCAATTTTCAAATTACACCCAAAATTGTTAAAAACCCATTATAATATATAGAAAAAAATGAATGATCTTAGAAATTGTAAATTAGAGGCATTACCAAAGATTTGAGACATTCCTATAATTGTTCTGATCACTCGGAAACGAAAGATGTTCCTTTTTTTTAAGTTATAGAAAATAAAGTTATTCTTCTATACATTGCATTAACACATCAACAATGCAAATAATTTGCCACATCTATGTCCAGTAAAACAAAATGTTTCACACGTCCAATACTCTAGAAATATTTTTAAAACATTCACAGGAGATGAATACATCTAGAAATTGTTTCACACGTCCAATACTCTGGAAATGTTTCTAAAACATTCAAAGAAGATGAATACATCCATCAATTTAATATTTTCTCTTACATCCATAATACAAGAGAATCCCCAAAAGAATTGCCCTGAAAATCTAACATGTTTAAATATAGAGTCAAAGGAAACTAACCAAGGCATTCGAGAGAAGAACCATAGACATTAACACAAACGTGTACATATTCCTTCACACTTGCATTTTCAAATTTCTTGAAATCCTCGAACATCACTTTCTACACATACCAACAACAAATCACATAAAGACAATCTAAACACAACAAGCATAAATACAAATACTTCTATTCCGACCAACCTTGTGCGAGCCCAAACAATTTCGAGACATATGAAGTATGATTGAATCAAAACCTATGACCAAATCGCAGATTCGTCAGAAATCGATAAATATTCATTGTATTGTTTACATATGAGGTTTGCGCGATGAGGGTTCTCATCCATCAACTCTGCAAAAGTATTGGAAATGAGAAATTCTACCATGGGCCCATCAATTCAAGTAGCAAAATTACTTAATCAATATGTAGAGGATAGTGAATTCAAGGGTCAGGAGAGAGGATTATGGAGTAAAGATCTAGTAAATTATTTTCAAATTATGAGAAAGAGAAGAGATTACCTTGAAAATTGAAAGAACAAGTGGTGTCTTTCAAATCGGTGGCCACCAAATTCACCGAAGAGACGATAGAGGCTAGGTTTTGAAGTTGTGAGAGAAAGAACTCAAAGAAGGGCCTTCACGCTTCAAAATTATTTTTTGGAGATTTGAATCTAAACCGACACGACCTGCATAAGTCTAAATTCGAAAAATTTCCAGCAACTATTAGCCTACAAATGGGCCAAATTTTTTGTAGGCTAAAGATATATCTTTCCCTTCAAATATTATTGTCAAGAAAAAATATAATTTTTTGTGGGCACAAGTCCTTCCACTATTAAAATTTTTAAGTCAAATCATAACCCTACAAAATGTATTTTTGTAGGGAAAAGTGAGCTATGCCCACAAATTTTAATTTGTCTCTAGAATTTTTGTAGGGAAAGTGTATATTTCTGTAATAGGACATGTTGCTAATCACAAGATGTTGTCGTGCATGCATACTCCCATTCTATAAGTTTTTTGGGGGGACATCCCATTGAGTTTGGTTTGAGAAAATTAACTCTGGCAATTCAAGTCTTTTCTTGCCATAATTCAACATTCAACTAGGTACATATGTTAGTAGCAACCGATCAGACATTAGTTTATCCTTCCTATGAGGGATGGCTAGACAATCATCTAGTTTTACGTCTCTATAATTTACTATTCCAGCGATATATCATCATCTAAAATTTGCAACGTCATAGACTTGAAAGTAACATGTAAAGAAGTGATTAATCTCTCGATTTAACTTATTTACCAGTATAACTCAACTAAAATGTTGAAAGCATAATTTGCTCTGTTAAGAAAACACAAAAAAGAAATTTAAAATACTGCTAGAATATAATAATGAAAAAATATTACAACAAATATAGTGACAAGAAAAGAAAAAAATTAATTGTTGATATAGTAACAGTATTAGGGGAAATCGATACCCATGTTGCATATGATTTCTTTTGAATAGATTCGCCCTCCACTTTAGTGTAAGAGGACTAATGGTATCAATCTCACAAGATACAACAACTGAAAGCAGCTAACTAATACACCGTCATTGCTTTAGGTGAATTGAGAATACTCATTTTTATTACCGAGCTAAAATATATTATCTAAATTATTAAGAACAAAGCTCTTGAAACAAAGAGAGAAATTTAAAGAGATGAGAGACTCTCAAATTTTAGGTGTTTGAAATAAGAAGAACACTGCCTTATATAATACTAGGATTGGTGGTTTCAATTTTCAATTAATTTTTCATTAGCACTAAAAATGTTACAATAGCTATCAGGAATTTGTAACCACCAATTTAATTAAAATATAATAGAAAATTGAATACATCTCATAATTTATTACAATTCAATAAAAAATTAACTAGAGAATTTGAAATCAAAATTGTTATTAAATCTCATTCACCATTTAATATATTTTTTCCAACATGCTCATTATGATAATGTATGTAGTGGTACTGAAGAAATCTTTTTCCCTTTATTTAATAGCTCTCTGGTTTTTCTAACTTTATGGAGAGATGGTGGATTCCAAAAAATAGGTAATTAAAATCAATTGTTGACATTAACTTTTTAGGTTCCTGTCTTGAATTTTAGATGGGACTTGAGCCCAAATCTACCTGGAAATCCTCAATGCAATATGGTCAATGTAACGCATTGTTGTTCAAACTCTTATTGTTGTTGTTTAGAGAAGGAAATCGACTAACAAACTTTAGCCTAGAATATGGAGGTTAACTTTATCACCATTCAATTTTATTGCCAATCTCATTGTTCATCAACTCAACTCAAGGTTTATGTAAAACCAAGCTTAGAGGAGAGCTAACATTTGCCATGGTATGACAACATTAGATCTGTGATCATCTAAGCATCATGGTCAATACTCAATAATATCAAGATGAGAAAAAGTTTTTTCATTGGTGAATTTCTAGTTTCGACATACAAAATACTGGATGATAATCTTCATTATGCCCCTGTTTGAGCCCCCATTTTGATGAGAAAAAAGAATTTTTGAATAGTGTATTGATGTGAAATGTGTGGTTAAAAAATAAGGAAAATTTTTGGATTTGTGTGTAATATTATTTTATTCAAGAATGTGTGATTGAAATTATGTCAAAATACTGTTGAAAAATTCATTTTTTCCAAAGAATGGGGATCAAACAAGGGTTATATTTCATCTATGGATATGAGAAAAAGATAGAATTGAATAAGGACTCAAATAAAGTTTCTTTTTTCGGTCTCTTGGAGAATTGTTTTTGTAGTCGATGTATTTTCATGTCTTGGAGGGCCTATTCGCATTTGATACCCCATTTGGTTTCCATTCTTTGAATAAAAAATGAAAAATATAACCGTTATCCATCACATTAAGTCACCATATTTGACTTCCTCTCTCTTGTGTAGGTCCTGTAATTGTTATATTTTTCATTCTCATTCTTATAATAATGGGAATCAAACAGGGGCTGAGTGTCTGTCAGAAGTTGTTATATTCAACTTGGCCTAAGAAAAATCAATTGTTTTTCCGTTACGAGATATTCAAGAAACTTCCCTATGATCACTTCGAAAGTTCGCTCGTAAAGTGAGATGCAAAAATTCTTGACAAAAACCTAAAATTCTAGAAAAATAAAAGACGAGTTCAATAAGATAAATTATGTCTTTGTACTAAATTATAGCATGGTAAAATTATAATGGAGAAAATTTGAATTGGTGTTATGAAAAGAGAGAAAAAGAAAATAGAGAATATAATCAATAGACTTTTTTGTGTGTTTTATTAAGAACAAAAATCCTATATTTATAGGGAAGAATCAGTGATACAATAGTAATAATTTCTAAGACTGTAAGGTTATCATTGTCATTCATAATCTTAACATTTACAATACTCCCCATTAAATGACACATTACAAAATATCTGTTTCGTTAAAATTTTGTTTGATAAAAATTTAATAAGACAAAAAAATCAAACGAAGGAAAAAGAGTACAGTTATTTTGGAGTATTAAAAATAAATGCTGACTCGTTAAAATATTGTTAGAAAGATCTAGTGGAATAAATCTAAGCGAAAAAAAGAATACTACTTTCTCTGATGTTGATCACTGAAAATTTTTGAATCGACGCATTCAAATCTCATGAATCAATATTCTGAATGTAGATGTAGGCAGTACTTGTGTGAATAAATCAGCCACATTATCACTTGGGTGATTTGTTGGACATCGACGTCTCCATTATTTCCAAACTCATGTGTATGAAAGAATTTTGAAGAAATATACTTCAACGTGTCACCTTTGATATAACATCTTATGTTGGTGTAAAGCCATATCTTAAAGTGAGATTTATAGAAAATGTTATGTCAAGTCGAGTGTAGTTTGCAAGATGAGTTAATGTTCAAATTGTCCTAAGATATGTTACTTCATGACCAATTAACCTTTTCTCCATTTTCAGGTTGATGAAAATGGATATTTTTTCATATCAAGCAATCGAACAACCATAAGCAATGTCAATGAAAGTGCATTATCTATATAAAAACATTTTAAGACTTTTTCTATATATGTAGATTGATGAACAAATGATTTTTCTACAAAATGTTCAATCTACAACCCGAAACAAAATTTAATTTTCCTACATCTTTTATCTCAAATTCATTTTTCAAACAATTTGCAATTTTGTTGAGCTTTTTAGAAGTTTCGATTAAATTTAAATTATTAACATAAACTATCACAATTGCAAATCTAATATTTATTTTCTTTTAGAAAACATGTGGACGGACATCATCACTTTTATAACCAAATATTTGTTTTCTTTTATGAAAACATATCGACGGATATTGTCATTTTTATAACCCTCTTTCAACAAATATTTGCTAAAGTGATTATATCACATGCGTTCTGATTGTTTCAATCCACATAATGATCTTTACAAATTAATTGAGAGCACGATTCTCGGACATGCATAATTTGTTCCTGGCACTTTAAGTCCTTTGGGAGCTCATATATATGTCACCATCAAATGAACTATACAAATAAGCAATTATTACATTTATAAGGCGTATATTGAGCTTTTGTGACGCAATCAAACTAGTTAAGAATTTAAAGGTGATGGTGTCCATTACGGGAGAATACGTTTTCTCATAATCAATTATTGGTTTTTGTGAAAAATTTTGAATTACGAGTCAAACTTTGTATCTTGTAATTTCATTATTTTCATTTTTCTTTCGTACAAAGATTCATTTGTATCTTACAAGTATTACATTTTTAGGTGTTCGTTACGTGTCCAACCACTTTTTGTTTTTTCTAAGAAATTGAATTCCGCACATACGGCTTTTTTCCACTTTGACCTATCATTTCTACTTTGATAGTCTTTAACAGATTATGATTCAAGATCTTCATTTTGTATAATATCAAGAGCCACATTAAAGAGGTAAATATTGTCTATAACAACATTATTTCGATCCCATAATTTATGAGATAACATATAATTTATTGAAATTTCATTATTTTTGGATAATTGTGGTTCTTCAAGAACTATGTTTTCAATATTTGATTCATCAATTTTTCTAATGTTACTTTGTTCGAAGTTTTTGGTTGGTTTTTCTTCTGTACTTTTCTTTTTCAAGGTACAAGTCTTTTGAACCAACTGGTCGACCATGTTTGTGACGTATTTAAAATTTATTTGCTACAATAGATTATCCTACAGAGATATGGATTTTTACTGAAAATTTTTCTATTGGAATACATAACTTTGTCACTTTTCTATGACAACAAATATATTGGTAATTGATTTGCAGCTCTTTACAGATGAATAAATTTTTCAACCTGTTGCTTAAATTGATTATTGCAGGAATCAAAGTGAGATAGAGTCTTTTCATTCCAATAATTTTTTACCTTATTTTTTAGGATGTAGTTTTTCCATTCCAAAGTTAAAAAATTTATTTCATGAAAATGACAATTTGAAAAACGTGCAGTAAATAAATCATCCGTTAAAGACTCAAAATACCTAATAATAAATAGTGAATCAAAACACACATAAATCTCAAGTTTTCGTTGGTGGCCCATTTTAGTAAGTTTTGGAGGTGAGATATAGGGACTTAGATAGTACAACAAAAAACCTACAGGTGAGAAATATTAGGTTCATTATCAAATGCTAGTTGCATAAGTGAAATTGATAATAGGTAGTTAGTCTGATATGAACCAATGACGCAGCATGTAATATGACATGATCCCAAGTAGAAGTTGGAAGTTTTGTTTTTATAAGTTATGGTCTAATAATAAGTTGTAGATGTTTAATAAATGACCCGTTGAATCATTCTGTATATGAACATGTGCAACTGAATATTCAATAACAATCCTAATTGACATATGAAAATTGACGAATGCTTCTGATCTAAATTCATCATCATTGTCAAGACGAATAGTTTTGATTCAGTAATTAATGAATTGCACTCGTAATTTTATAATTTGAGCAAATAATCTAACAAATGCTACATTCTTAGTGAAAAGTACCAAACATAAGATCATCTAGAAAAATAATTAATACCTAAAAAATAACGAAAGGATCCACATGACGGGTGTATTAGCCAACATATACTCCACGAATTATTTTTAAGAAAGTTGAAGATCAATATTGACCTTTGTAACCAAATGTTTAATGACTAACTTGCTTTACGAATAAACTACACATGAATAATCATTAAATAAAAAGAATATTCTCGTCCTTTAAAGGATGCCCATGTAAGTTGTTTATTATTCGATGCACATTTATAGTTTCTGAATATCCAAGTCTATAATGTCAAAGTATAAAACTTTTTTTTGATAAATGAACTTCTGATTCATGACAATATTTGATTCAACCATTTTTATAAATGTATAATACATCCCATATGGGAGTGCATGCAATTTTTTATCTGCTTCTGGCCAAATATGAAAGAAGTTGTGCAAAAATATTAAATATTATTTTCTCACACCGTCTCAATGTGATATTCAATACATCAAATATCTTTAAAACTAAACAAATTTCTTTTGAATTTGCTAGAATAAAATGCATCATCAATATATAATTTTGTGTGATTTGGTAAACTAATATAAGCTCTAAAAGAGCCTTCAATGATATTCGATACACTTAATATTGTATTAAAAATATTTTCTACTAATGATAAGTCAAAAAAAATTATATGAAGATGAATTAAAATTGAAGTTTCCTCTGAAATACAGATGATGTATTTTTGCCTCTTTTTTTCTTACAAAGGATAATGGACTTCGACTAAAAAAAATAAAACTATCTTACTGATAATGTGTTATGAAAAGAGAGGAAAAGAAAAAAAGAGAATACAAGTCAACAGACATTTTTGGTACGTTTTATTAAGAATCAAAGTTATATATTTATAGGGAAAAATCAGTGATATAATAATAATAATTTATAGAGTTGAATGGGTACAATTGTCATTTACTGATAAACTTACAATTTATAACAATTGTATGCTTTTTGGGCAAACTTAAAATGGAAATTAATGTGTTTAAGTCCCGTTTGATGTCCATTATTTCTCATTATATTAAATTAAAATTTTCTTTCTTATATTTTTAACTACATAATTATCAATAAAATAATATTATATGTAAATTAAAATTTTTTTAATCATTTATTTTTAAAAAAAATATTATTCATCTCATTATAATCTAAACGCTACTAAACAAGTTGAAAATTAGAAACCAAACTTCAACCAAAATGCTTGTCGTAAGGCCATAGTTTTTATATTTATATATATTATTTAAATATACGTATTCATACAGATGTAACTGATCGTCCGCAATCATTTACTTTCATTTCGCTCCTCGCCAATTTTTCCCATCGTTCTCTCTGTTTTCGTATCTAGCGATATATATATCTATACAGATTTGGATTCTTGTTTTCTATTTCTTTCTCAAGAAAAGATAAATACATATATATATTTTAATCAAAGATTAGATCAGAGAAAAATGGTTGAAACAAGGCGAAGCTCGTCTTCTTCAAAGCGCGCCCTGTCGTCTCCATCCTCTTCTTTACCTAACGGCAAAAGATCTAAGGTTGGGGTTTTTTTAAATTTTTAGTTTTTTAAATTGTGGAAATTTTTGGGTCTTTTTTTGTTTTGTGTGAGTTTTGAATGATTTTGAGGTTTGGGTTGTTGGTTGGACTTAGGCGGCGGAGGCTTCATCTTCATCAACGAATGATTCACCGGCGGTGGAGGAAGTGGTAAGTGAGGCTGTGGTGAAGGAATCGGCGAGGGATGAGGTTCGATCTGTTGATCTGGCCATCGGTGGTGGTGCGAAGCAGTCGGATGTGAAAAAATTGCCGGAGGCGGTGGTGGAAGGTGAGCCTTTGATTTTTCCGATAACTATAGGTTTGATTTTTTTTCCTCTGCACGTGCTTTGACTTGATTTAGTCGCTGGTTTTTTCTTCTTTCTTTTTTTTTTTTCGCATTTTGTTTCAATTATATTCATCATTTTCTGTTTTTCGTAGTTGCCTCTGTAACTGATGCAGAGGAAGCGAAATTGAATGGACCAGCAGGGAATCGAGGAAAGAAGGGGCAACTGAAATCACATGCTGGGGACGCATGGGGGAAACTTCTTTCTCAGTCTTCTCAGGTAGATTGACAATTTTCACCCAGTTTCATCACTTACATCAGTAAAATATTATGTTTTTTGTTGTACCAAGTTGTTACAATAACTGTAGCTGATCTCTGTCTGGATGAATATGTGAATGCCGCACTACTTCTTTAGTCTGCCACTTTGTTTGAGTTATATAATAGGCTAAAATTGTTGGATTTATTCATAACTGTATAGATTTGTAGGTCAACTTATTGGGAGTTAAGATGAAAAGTGATTGAATTAACGAGACAGGATTATTCTTTTTCCTCTTCATTTTCTTTTTTGATGTTGTAATTTTCCCAAGTAAATGAAATTGAAATTTGAATAGATCTTTAATGAAGAAATGATGGCAGTGATAAGATTTAGTGTTTAATGTGGCTAAATCTGGTATGAAGGCTCTTTGCTCCATGAGGGAAAAGAATTTGGTTGGTATCAGAGTGTACATCATTTCACCATCTATTGAAGCATTTTGATTGCTTCGACTCCAAACTTTAATGCAAAACAAAACCTGGAGATAAAGAATAAAATCACAGATGAAACTAAATGTGAAACAATATGGAGAGTGAGGTTTTGTGTTGCAGGTCTTGGCTTACAAGATGTTTGCTGTTGTAAAATTGTGATTTCATGGAGGGGGTTATTGCACATGAACTTTATGAGGCTAGGGCACTCATTGCTCTTGTTCTATTTTGTATCTCCAAATTTAATTTTGTTTTCGAAGGTTAGGATGTTTCTAAAATAGACTAGGAAACCGTAAAAAACTTTGCAGACTATCAAAAAGCAAGCCTCAAATGCTGAGGCTTTGAAAAATCGAATCTTAGAAAGGTCAGGAATGAGACTTGCATGCCTCAGAGCTTCTGTGGCGTGCGACTCATGAAGTCAAGGCTTGAGATTTGACACAAAATGTATTCTTTGAACTCTGTGGCGTGAGCCTCAATAAGTCAAGACTTGAGAATTGACACAAAATGTATTCTTTGAGGCTTTTAATGAAGTTGTTGCACGAAGCCAATTTAAGGTTTGACTTTTGGACTCTAGAAAACAATGAGAAGATCAATTGATCATCTGGGAGAAAATGATGGTTAAATCTTCCTTTGGTTGAGTGAAATGGTTCTCCACTGGAAAACATATTTGTTTTTTCATAGAAGCTATGTCTTCGTTATAGAGTAAGTGAACAAGAAAAAATTTCTAGAAATTCTAGTGGATGGAGTTAGTTTATCTATCGTGGTGTGCCTATGAAATGTTAGTGATCAATGGTTGTGATGAGCTGACATGAGGTATGTTGCTTTGAACTATGATGGAGGTACTGGTCACCACATGTAGGCAACCATGAGTCTTCAATGGTGGGTGCTAGTTGTGGTTGTGGGCTATGAATTCTTGATGGTGCATTTGGAAAATGGCAGTCTATGCAAAAAAGCTGGAACTTTTTTTTCCCCCTAAATTGTGTAAAATGTTTTCCTCCTATAAATGCAATCATGTTTTACAAAACAAAAGGACTGTGGTAAAAAGTAATTGCAACAAGTTATCAAGAAAAAATTTGGAGGGGTGAACATCATTTACACGGGGTAGATGATAAGTAGTCTGACATTTGCGTCATCATGGAAGGATATAGTTGTGAACTGGTGTGCGTCAACATAGGATGTTTTCTCTGTCTGACTGTCTCTATAAGGCCTCACTTTCATAAGAGAGCATGACTTTTAGAGTTCAAAGTGAATTCATAATTATATCAGATTGGTTATGTTCATGCTGTCAAGGTACATGGATTTCAACTATTGTAGAAGCCTTGGAAACTTTATTGACGATATCTAACCACGAGTGGTCTAATTGGTGTTGGAGGAACTTTTTTAAGGTCTGGATCTGGAAGGAGAAATGCTCTAAATCAATGTGGGTCAAATATAAATGAGTGGCCAAAGCAGTATAAGCTCGTGAACTCAAAGTGGCTTAGTAAAGAGTGAATCCCCTATTTGATGGCTTGTAGTTACCATTACATTAAATGATTAAAGACTAATGTTTTCTTGAGATTATACATCAATTAAAATTTTATTCTGAATGTTACTTTCTCAAGGTTTTCGCCTTTAGGCGTCTTTGCGTATTTATTACCATGGAGGTAAATTTCAAAAGGACTATCCCTCGCTGCTGTAGCTACGTTGTCTGTTGTGTCCAAAAGAAAAATGTTCATGATAAAGGGTTCATCCGTTCATGGTCAGGATCTATAGACACTCCGTTTTTACATGTTAATATGTATAAAGTGTCATTGGATCAATACATGGTATTGGATAACATCCTTTGTTATTTTTATCATGTCATGCTAGCTATTTACGGTTAGCAGATTCTTTAACTTTTCTTGATATAATATTGTGAGTAACTCCAGTTACATGCATAAAATCATGTCATCAATTGTAATAAGATCGAAGAGAAGGCTAGCTGTTGGAGAATTCTTAGTGATATGAGGGTACTTATTAGCATTCAGTGCTGCCCTTATTTTAACATTTAATGTTGCCTTATCTGTTAGTATGTGATATTAAATGTAATCATTGGTGAGATTTTCTGTAGCTCTTTTGACTAGAATGCCTTATTATAGTTGCTTTCACTTGTTGATTACCATCATTAGCTTTGACACATATCACATGCAGCGTAAGAGTTACAGTGTGTTAGATAAAACGAGACTTTTTGCTGTTTCCTCTGAAATTGGGTATAGAATGAATCTTTTTCTATCATCATTTTCCTCCAATGCATGTTCTCTGCCAATGTTGAATTTTTCATACTTTTTGAAAATGAAAGAAAACGAAAATAGCATCTTGTTACGATTGTTTGTGATTTGTATTCCTTTATCCTCCCTCTGTTTTTGTATTATTCTTTCTTCCTTTTTGAGGGTCTTTGGTGGAAGAATTATTATTGAGGTAGTACCAACTTAAGATAAATAGTGGATAATGAACAGAGATTGTTGTATCCATTTTATTAAGTTTGCAAGATGCACATGGTAGGAGAAGGAGACTAAATGTTTTTATAGAACTTAGATTAATTAAGTTGAATTTTTCCTTTTGATTTGTTTGGTAGGTGAGAAGGAAGTCATGTCGCAAATGTTAGAGAGTTGCCATGCTTAATCCTCATTTTGCCTTTATTGTATTGTTTTACGATTTGCACACAGTCTCTTGCTTTTGATGTTACCGTTAGGTCCTACTTTCTTGATTTCATTATTTGACACGATATGTCAGGTTACTCAAATGAGGATATTTTATGGTACTCTGTGTGTATTGTTCGAGAATGGAAGTATCTGTGAAATTTTTGTGGGCTTTTTGTCTAGAAGTTGATGTCTTGTGTCTGTGCTTCTGTTGGAAGTCTATGTTTCACTACTATATTCTACTTCTTAAATTACGTTGCTTTGTCTTATTTAATTTCATGACGTTTTCAAGATTTTTGGAAGATTTGATTTTCCTTGTTCAGTCAAATTCTAGACACGATGAAGTTCTCATTTGTTTCCTCATTTAATATATAATCTTGTTTCCTTTCCAATTTCTATTATTTGGCGTCGAGCAATTTCTTGCATGTTATTGCCGCTCACTTGTTGAAATCTTTAATTTAGTTGTTGCCTTCAAAATTTTCATCCTGTTTTGTTTTTGGACTTCTAAAATTTGATAGAATATTAATATATGTCTTCAAGTGAAGTAATTAGCTGACCTTCTGTCATAAGGACTGGCCTAGGCAACATTTAGACTATCTTCTTTATTTTTCTTCATATCCCTGTTCTGGACTTCTTCACTTGATAAATTTTTTGAAAAAATTCTAGTTTTCTTTTCCACCGTGTTAATTCCAACCACCTTTGCAAACCTCTCAAGGTTGCCTAGGTTTTGTTAGGCTAGTCTATTTTTTCTTCTTTAGGTGAGTGCATGCCTTGTTTTAATTTCATTCCAGTAACAGGGCATTTCGAAGTGTAAGTTTCAAGACAAACCAACAAAAGAATAATTTTTCTAATATAAAATACAAAATATGTTCCAGACTGAAAAATTCATACTTTACAAATTAAGAAAATTAATGCTCTAACTTATAAACAATAATGTTCTAACTTATAAACAACATAGCCCTTGTTTGATCCCCATTATTTTCAAAATACATTTTTCACTCTCTTTTTTTCAATCATACGTTCTTCAATAAAATAATATTTTTCGCAAATCAAAATTTTTTCCATATTTTTTAATTACACATTTTTTATCAATCTACTATTCTAAAATGCATTCTCTTCTAAAAATGGGGCTCAAACAGGCTCATAATATATCAATAAAGTAGCAAGTAATGAGTTCTCAGATTAATAATCAAGACTCGAAACATATTCTTTTCTGTATTTAGTCTTTTCTTTTCCGGAATTAAAGGTGCCATAATTAAATTGGAACCTGCTGGGGAAGTAAAACCAATGTAGAAGCTTCGAACAGTTGTTCTAATCAATGAGTTCTTGTTAGGTCTGTTCATCTTTGCATGAAGTGTCGGTTCAACCTACGGATATTAGGAGTGCAACTGCTGACGTGGTTTGTCCTGGGTTGGATTTTAGTCAAGAAGAGCTACTTGAGAATTTGGTTTTGGCTGTCTTAGTTCTGCTTGTAGTATGTATACTTAAGTTTTGTTCATGGGTCTTTCATGGAAGATGGTGTTCTTTTACATCAACGTCTGTTTCTCTGTTTCTTTGGTTTGGTTAGTCGCTAGGCATTGTGCACTATAGCTCTAGAGTCTCCTTAAGGCATTCTCTACTAATGGACTCATCTTCCTTGATTAGGAAGTATGTTGGAGTGCTATGTTTTCGCTGAGGGAAAATTTGCTGGCTGTTGGACCAATTGTCCTAACCTTAATGCTCAAGGCTGTGGATTGAAGTTGTAGGCAGCAAAGAATTCCATTTGGTTTTGAGTTTGAAGGAGTTGTCTTCAAGATTTGGTCTTACGTTTTTAATTCAAATCCTAGATAAGTTGAAAATAAGAATATCTTTTCTCTAGCTTGAAGGCTAGTGTTGGCAGATTTGATTTTCCTTGTTCAGTCAAGTCCTAGATGGCCGAATTTTTTTATTTCTTGATTTACAAAATTTAACGTAGTTTCCTTCTCTTCATAGATTGCGTCTTATGAAAAGTCTATACCACAAAATTTGGTAGGTATTCATAGTGAAGGTTATGGTTGATAGTTGTATCTTTCCTACTTCGACTATCTGTAACCATCTTTCACTTTGTAATTCAAGAAGATAAAGAAGAGTTCTAAAAATTCTCTATTCATTTTCCTATTTCTGTTTCAATTGCAATTAATCCATATTTTCCAACAAAGATTTTCTATGATTGTTTTGATTCCCTTAGGTTGATTTTTAGATAAATAAGATCTGCATCGTTATACATTTGTGGGTTGAGAACTTAAATTGAACTTAAATTAGGTTTTCTGTCATTTTTCTTCTAAACGTCGAATGTCATTATAGCTACTTTTAATGATGATTCTCCTTCCAAAAACCAAGAGGGTAGCTTGAGAAAATGTCTTAAATTGTTGATTTTTTGTATTAGGCTTCCAGAGTCCTTTTTCAAGGTCAGGATAGTCATTTTAAGATGGAAGTAGTATTGTTACGGTGTTTATAGCTCTGCACTAACAGATCAATGTTTTAATCTTTCTGTCTTAATGTATATGTGTTCATGTACACTGCGCACTCATCGTCAGGCAGACACACCCAAAGTATTGGGGGAGGGTGAACTGAGGGATGTGTGGTGTCTTCAGCTGCTGTGAATTATGATAATCCACTTGCAATTTCTGCCGTAGTTCTATAGCTAGACTCAAATGGTGCCATGTGCTTATTCTTTCCCGTGATTTCTCCCTCCAGAATCCTCATGTTGTTTTGCATCATCCTACTTTCACTGTTGGTCAAGGCAGCCAATGCGACTTGTGGGTAGGAGATCCATCAGTTGGTAAATCTTTGTGTAACCTGAAGCACATGGAGTCAGAGGTAAGTAGTAAATTTAAACATTTGAAACAAATTCACAACCTTTGTTGAGAATTCAAGTTCTTTTGATCATGGTACTGGCATCCCTGTTCAGTTGTTTTCTCTCTTCTTTTGTAACTATGTCCAGGGTGGAGAGTCAATTACTTTACTTGAAATAACTGGAAAGAAAGGATCTGTCCAAGTGAATGGCAAGTCTTGCACTAAAGATTCCATTGTACGACTAAAGGAAGGTGACGAGGTGGTATTTAGCTCGTCTGATAAACATGCTTATGTATCCTTTGATCATCATGATTCAGTTGTATATGTCATAGGATTCTGTAATAGTTGCTAGAGTGAGTCATTATATTTCATTTCGCTACATCTAAATTTACTGAATTAGCATGTATCTTCCAACGTCCTTCAACATGAGAAAATTTCCTTAACATAAGGCCAGATTTTCCAACAACTCGTAAATAATAAAACATCTGTTTCGGACGTGCCACCTTCAGTCAACATATTAGAAGCCCATGGTGGACCAATAAAAGGTCTACATATTGAGACAAGATCGGGAGATCCTTCTGCTTTTGCAGTTGCGTCAACACTGGCATCTTTATCGAATCTCGGGAAAGAATTATCGCTTCTTCCTCCATCATCTCAGAATGATGAGGATGCACGGCAGGGTTCTGAATTGCCATCTGTACCTGCTGCTTGTGAAGTCTTAGATAATGGTCTCTTGGATTCTGACATGAAGGACTCCTCTGACCATAATGACGAGCCTATTGTTTCATTGGGTGAGAAGAGCACCATTCCATCTTCTGACGTTGCCAATGAAAACTTGAGTGTTGATGCTGAGACTGGGAAGATTATATCTGAAACCAGTGACTTGAGGCCCTTTCTACGCATTCTTGCAGGATCAACAGCTCCTGACGTGGATATCAGTGGTAGCATTTCAAAAATTCTCAAAGAGAATAGGGGAGTAAGAAATCGACACAAGGATTCTGACCCTCTTATTTCAGCATCATCAAGGCGTCAAGCATTCAGAGATGGTTTACAACAGGGGATTCTTGATTCCAAATTTATTGATGTTTCATTTGAAAATTTTCCATATTATCTAAGGTACCATTTCCCATTTAGTTTGAGGCAGCTAACAATATCTTTATTCTTATCTCTGTTGTTTCTGCTAAAATTTGTTATTTTTTGGCCATGACTTTCCTGTATCATTTGTTATGATTTTTTCACTATGCTTTTCAAGAAGCTTGCATTTTATTTTATTTTTTTTCCATTTGTTAGCAGTATTTTGGTCTACTTAGCAGTGATTAGATGGATTGAATTTCTGTTTTTGTCACTATCTTTCCTTTTATTGTCTAAGGAAGTGTAGGATTTTGGCTAGTTACTAATATGTACTAGAAGAGATGTAGTTTTTGCAAGTGATTGAATTCTCTGATTTATATGGTTTCTCACAGTGAAACCACGAAGAATGTTCTAATTGCTTCGACATACATACATCTGAAGTGTAGTAAATTTGCAAAGTTTACAACTGATCTCCCTACGGTGTGTCCTAGAATCTTATTATCTGGCCCTGCAGGTACATAGCTCTATTGCTGTTCTGTGTATATGAATATACATGTTCCCATTTTCTTCTTCTTTCGTATTGAACCATTTTCATTTTAACTTCTTCCCTTCATAGGTTCAGAAATATACCAGGAAACATTGACCAAGGCACTTGCTAAACACACTGGCGCTAGGCTTCTTATAGTTGATACTATTCTATTGCCTGGTGTAAGCTTCTATCATATCCCTTATAAAATGTGTATTTTTGTTGAATTTCATTCTTCAAGGAGTTCTTGACTGTCTTTCTTGTTAGTTTTTACATTATACTATCTGCTTTTCTAACTCTGTTCAGGGACAAACAACGAAGGAAGCTGATCCTGTAAAAGAAATTTCAAAGCCTGAAAGAGCAAGTGTATTTGCTAAACGGGCTGCTGCTGCTGCTGCACTACATCTCAAGAAACCAATGTCAAGTGTTGAGGCTGATATGACGGGGGGATCAACTTTAAGTTCTCAGGCTCAGCCAAAGCAGGAGGCGTCTACCGCTTCATCAAAATCCTGCACTTTCAAAAAAGGTATTGTGCTGTTAATATTTTATTAGCTTTTTCATGGTTCATTGGGGGGGGTG